AGAGAGTGGACAGCACCCTAGTCCTCCAAGCCTCGAAGACAACATTCCACTGAGAGCAGACATTAACAGATATTTTGAATAATATAAAAATAAAATAAAACAGAATAGTCTCATTTTAAAAACAAAGAAAGAAAACATTCCTACCTGTTCTGAGGGCAATTCACCAAATAATGTCTCACTGCGAAAGGAAACAAACAAACAAAAAAGTAAATAAAAGCTACTTTCAGATGAATGTGCTCTAGGAGTTACTAGAAAATATTGAGACTGAGAAGTTACTTAGACTTGGTACAAGCCAACTACATGGGCTCAATCACATATCTTTGGAGGAGTACAGCAGAGCGATAACAAAAATAACACAGTGTTTTGATGCTGTTGAACCACAAGAATTAGTCTGTCATGAACCATAAACCCATACTTCCTGTTACATAATCTAAAACATTTATTATATGGCAGGCCAAGTTGAGTTGGGTATTAACTTCAAGAGTAAATAAAAATAGATCTCTATTTACTTTTGTTGCAAAGATGTCCATGAATGTGGTGAAGGATACAGGGGAAAAGTTTAAAAAACTTATTAGAAAAACCAAGCATTTTGAAGGAATGAGTCACTGACGTGTGGCCTCAGGATGCTCTGAGGGGACACCAAGTCCACCTGGCATAACATTGTCCACAAAAATGATAGGTGAATCCACAGAGACAACAAGTAGAAGAGGATTCCATGGGCGTACAATGGGGGGGAGGGGTAAGTGGAAACTGAAATCAAGGAGTTCAAGAAGGAAGAAAATGTCTTGGAACTGATCATGGTAGCGAATCTACAACACTGATAGGATTGAATTATGGAATGATATGATGTCTGGATTAACTCCTAATAAAATGGTTTGGGAAATATTTGGTTAATAGTGACTGGAGACTTAAAAGCTCATAAATAGCCATCTAAGAGAAACTGCTCATGTCTCCCCATCCAGAGGAAAGACCAGTGGTGAAAATTTAAAGATCCATATAAGCAATTAGTCCATGAACATTAGTCTCCAAAACCCTGAGGCTAGAAGAACTAGATGGTGCATATCTCCCACTTAAAACGGCTCTGATATGAATCCTATTAGAAGATAGTAGATAGAATAATTAAAAGTGTGGAACAAAAATAGTAAAAAAGAACAAGTTTACTAGTATGACAGATATTAGTGGATGGGAAAATAGTGACCATACCAAGGATGTCCAGCCAGGGCATGCCATGAAGGATGTGTGGTGACAGGCAAGGGGTAGTGCCCTGAATATTCAATCAGCCAACTGAGGTACACGGTGGTGATAAGGACAGGTCTAGGTGAGTAAGATGAGTTACCAGGAAGGCTGGGACTTGACGGAGCCTGTAAGCAGCAGGGCCTCACAGGCAGAGTTTAGGGCAGTGAAAGTGTAAACCATGCGTCCTGAAGTGCTCACAGTTTTCATATCAAGAGAGCTGAGACAGCGACCCAACTTTTTAAAGATTTAAAAGAAATACAAACAAAATTTCATCTCTGTGCAGCACAGTAGTTTTGGAGTTGACAACTTCTGGACCAGGCATGCTAAGAGCCACGGCACTGTGAATGCTAGCCTGGTGATGTACTCTTCATTGACTTCCTTCTCCTCCCTACTTCACTTCTCCCCTGCCATGAGGCTCCTTGGGATCACCACCCAAAACAACTCATTGTACATGAATCCCAGTCTTAAAGTCAGTCCCTCAGCTACCCAGAATAAGTCAGGTCACTCTCGACAGGTCCAGATATACTGGTTAGGGTGGGTGAGAGGTATGCATGTTTTTATCAAAGGGAGAAAGTAATGGGAAAGAGAAGGGGAGAAAGGAATATAGTCAGTCACCTCTGACACATTCCCATGTCAATCCGAAGGGAAAATATATATGGAGGATGAAGATATGGAAATTTACTACCTCAAAACTGATCTTCCTAAGAAAGACCAGGGGTATACAGAACCTGCTTTGAAGGCTGCTGATTGCTGTAACATAGGAGTCTTGAGGATAAAGTTACTAAGCATTCAGATGCTAACCCAAAGGCTGGCAATTTGAACCTACCCAGCAGTTCACAGGACAAAGATTTGGTAGTCTGCACCCATAAAAGATTTTCAGCCTTGGGAACCCCATGAGGTAGTTTCTCCTCTGTCTTAGGGGTATCTCTTAGTCAGAATTGACTCAATGGCGGTGATTTTAGTGCTAGGCATATATGAAATGCTCAGTAAAGGGTAACTATAGTGATAGGAAGTCCTTGGACGATACAATAGCCTTAGAGAAAACCTTACCTCCGCAGGGGATTTCTTTGAGTAAAATCAACTGATTCTAGCTTCAGAAGAAACAAGGAAACCCAGGCATATATCCCAACAAGTGGCCACGCTAGGGGCATGCAATTGAGTTCACATCAAACAGAAAGAAAACAGAAACAGCCAGAAGAGCCATGGGGTTCTGGAGCAGTTGATTGCATCAGAGGACCCAAATGAATCACTTCCATGTACCTTTCTATCCATCCTATCCCACACTGACTCTGGACTTGCGAATACAATTTGCTTTGGTCAATGGAACATTGGCCAATATGAGCTAATCAGAGGCTTCCTAATCAGATACTTCAAAGGCATTTATGGTCTTCGATTTGTCCTTTATCTTGATGGTGTGGCTCTTCTGCTACCACATGAAGAACCTGGTGAGATGTGACCACGAGGTGTTAACAGGTATTGTGTTTTTAGGGATAGAAAGCTAATTTGGGCAATGGCTATTCTCAATGAAATGGACTGGCACAAGAGCTGTAACAATGTGTTCAAACATGCTAGCAATCACAAGAATGAAGTAGGACTGGACGACATTTGGCTACCACTTGCTCATCAGTTGCTCAGAATTATAGTCAACTTGACAGTAACAAGCAAAAACAACAAATACTTTATAAGAATTCAATCATTTCCATCAAGATGATGCAATGCTGTCATAGAGCAATGTGTATTTATATGCAACATAATAAGTAAATCTATAATGTATACAGAGGCCTTACAGACTCACATACAGAAAACATTCCATTGACTTCTTTCCACTGGTACCGGCCTTGGATTCCTAAAGGCCTGGCTTTGTCCTGTTTGATGACAGAGCATCAGACTTGGGGTAGTTTGCTCAAAGGCCATCGCTGTCAGTAGGAATCATCTTGCTGCAAGGGAGCATTTGGAACTCTCAGAGTTGTCTTACTGCAGGAGCCCTTGTGATGGAGTGGTTTTGCGTTGGGCTGCTAACCACAAGGTCAGTGATTCAAAACCAATAGTCACTCTACGGGAGTCACAGTTTTGGGAACTCACAGGGGAAGTACTGCCCTGTTTTATAGGATCACTATGAGTCAGCATTGACTTGATGGCAGTGAGGGTTATTTTGGTTTTTTGTTTGTTTGTTTTTGAGGGGTGGTGTTATGACTATCACATTTATGGGGATAATAACTGATTATAGTAGGTAGAAAGAAGGGATGCCAAATACTAATACACAAGGCTGAGAAAGATTTCTCCCACAGGAGTTTGGAATGCATACG